CACTGCGTCATATCGTTGCTTCATTTCTTGCATGTCTTTTTTGATGTTCTTGTCTCGCTCTTCATCAGTGGTGTCTACCTTGTCCGACATCTGCTGAAGCCTTTCCTCTGTCGCTTTCGCTAGATTGAAATAGCTTTGCAGGTACTCATGTTTGTTGTATCTTAATTCTTTCTTTATCACATCTCTATCCTCCTCGCTGTGCTTTAGTCTCTTGTCGATCTGATCTAGCTTCGCCATCAGATCGCCCAGATCGAGAGACATTGTTTCATGATCAGATGTTGCCCTCTTGTTGGCTGCTGTTCCCGATCTAATCTGGTCTTCGTTTTGGTCCGTGTCTGTTGTTTTCGTGGAGACTGTTCCGAATGTTTTGCCTTTCTCGTTCTTTGGTTCCTCCGTCACTATGTCTCGTGATTTCATCCCGACCATCATTGCCAACGTTTCAGTAAATGACGTTCTTTTTTCTTGAGACACGTCCTTTGCCGTTTCTGGCGTGTTGCCCGTTGTGTCTTCCACAGTGTCTATCGGCGAGAACTCCATGGAATTTGGATTTGGTTCTTCTGCATTCGGCATCGGTGTTGACTCCGTCGTCTTCTTCTCCACCTCATCCACACTCTGGTCCGGTGTCTCTAGGTCAATCTCCACTGCATGTTTCTCTTCCATGCCCTCTTTTGTTTTGTTCTCCGTATTACTCCTCGTGTTGACCATGCTAACTGAAAAATTCTTCCTTGTTACTTTTGGGCCCATGGATGCTGTTTTACGTAGCGACGAGTTATATTTCGTTTTTGATTCTGTAGATCTTTTTTCAGCCACCGGTACCCTGCTCCGTCTCATGATTTCTATTTAACAATTGATTTTATTTACAATACTGGTATTTACAAAATCCTATTCTAACAGAAAATAATCATAAAAAACAAATTTTTTTTGCTAAAAAAAAAACTACTTTACTGTTCCTTCTAAGATTTTGTTAAAAAGTCTACTAATTCGTGATCCTATAACTATCGTGTTCTAACTAGTCCTATTGCTTTTGATTCAATTAATTCGACCTGTCTCAAGACCCTTGAGTAACGTCACTCCACTTTTTCGTGCTGTCCGAAGCTTTCTCTCTACTGTCCCAAGACTATTCAATGCTGTCCCAGTACTTCTTGTTAGTGTCACAAGACCACTGTCCCAAGACCCTTGCCCTAAGAAGACTGTCCCAAGACTACTGTCTCAAGACTAGTGTCCCAAGACCACTGTGCCAAGACTACTGTCCCAAGACCCTTGCCCTAAGACTACTGTCCCAAGACTAGTGTCCCAAGACCACTGTCCCAAGACTACTGTCCCAAGACCCTTGCCCTAAGAATACTGTCCCAAGACTCCTGTCCCAAGACTACTGTCCCAAGACTACTGTCCCAAGACTTGTGTCCCAAGACTACTGTCCCAAGACTACTGTCCCAAGACTACTGTCCCAAGACCAGTGTCCCAAGACCACTGTCCCATGACCACTGTCCCAAGACTACTGTCCCAAGACCAGTGTCCCAAGATCACTGTCCCAAGACCACTGTCCCAAGACCACTGTCCCAAGACCACTGTCCCAAGACCACTGTCCCAAGACCACTGTGCCAAGACCACTGTCCCAAGACCACTGTCCCAAGACCACTGTCCCAAGACCACTGTCCAAAGACTACTGTCCCAAGACCAGTGTCCCAAGACCACTGTCCCAAGACCACTGTCCCAAGACCACTGTCCCAAGACTCTTGTCCCAAGACCAGTGTCCCATGACTGTGTCGTACCGAGACTGCTCTGGCCCAAGAGTGTCCCAAGACTGCACCGTCCCAAGACTGTCCCAAGACTGAACTGTCCCAAGACTGTCCCAAGACTGTACTGCTCCAAGACCGTCCCCAGACTGCAATGTCCCAAGACTTCTTCGGTACTGTCCCAAGACTTGTCACTAAGTGTCTGGATAGTAGGATCTCTTCTTCTTTGTTGTGGGGACTCTTCAACCACTGTACCGTGTACCACCACTTGAGCTCTAGTAAAAATATTCCCAAAATCCCTATCTTAATGGCCAAAATCCAAATACTGACCCCCCTGTATTTATCTCCCTTTCGTTGCTTCAGGCTATTTGAAACCCCAACTTTTTCGCACGTATCTTGTGATCACCTGTTCGTTCAAATACTAACAACAAATTTTCACCAAAACGTAAAAATTTAAACAGAAAAAATTACAAAAACAGAGAGATGAACCCACCTTAAAACCAAAGCTGACTGATGTCAACCTTTGTCCGAAAAAATGTCTGGTACCCGATTGCCACGCGTTTCCTCCCCCCTGCTAGCGATCTTATGGGGTATCACAAAAACTGTCTATGTCCGTTCCCCCCTACCGATCCGACCAGGGTACCTACCTTAACTCGATGTTAAATTTGGATATCCGCTTCTTATAACCAACGCGTGTAAGTATCTAATGTAACTAAATCGACGATGCCGAACAATTAGTTACTCTAATGTGTCCCCCCTTTTTACACTTTACAACCACCAACCTTTAACCTAACCAGCCCCCCTTCTAACCTCCCCCCTCCTTAGCCCCCCACTTAAGCCGAAAAATCCCTTAAGCGCCGGGTGCTAAACCTCTCGATCTTAAGGCCTGCTTGTGTAAAAACTTCCTCAAAACAATGGGGCTCCGCTTGTCCAATTTTACACTTATTTCCTATAATGTTATGTGGATTTTAACGATACCCGTTTGTCCAACTTGAGAACACCCCTGTGCGTCCTCTTCTTGTTTTAGCGATCCCGTGCTGGTTGTCCCCTTGACGTGCACTGCACCTGACACCAGCACCACCTTCCCACTTGGCTGGTCACCTCTTCCAGTCAAGTCTCCTAGCGGTTCAGCTCAGTCCTTGTGAACCACTTTCCCACTCGGCTGGACACCTCTTCAAGTCAAGTCTCCTAGTGGTCCGGCTCTATCCTTGTGAACCACTTTCCCACTCGGCTGGACACCTCTTCCAGTCAAGTCTCCTAGTGGTCCGGCTAGGTTGCAGGCTATCTGAAAACCTTTAACAACGCCCCCCACTTGGGCACCTTATTGAAGTCACTGGTTTAGATTGCTAGATTGATCGAAACGATCGGTCTTATAAAACAGTATGGGTATACTATTTAACTAATATAAAAGTTTGATCCAACTAATCTGGTATCAAAGTCACTGTCATTTTTGTTTTATGGTTTTTGTTCCTTTTTCTATACTTTTTTCTTGTTTTTGTCCCCCTAGTTACCCCCCCCCCTTTTAAATAAAATTTAACTCAAGAATATCGTTTTGGATCTGGACCATTGGGAGACTTCAGTTGTCTGCTTTTCCGTTGAAGGTTCACACTGGTCCAGTTGATTTTTGCTCTGCTCTTGTATTTGTTTGGTTTCCTATATCAGATAGGACAGCTCTACTCTAGTATTCTACGATGGAAATTGCGAATAGCAATTTCCCACTGTGTATATTTGACAACTTTCCCGCAATTGTAATTCGGTTGTTCTGATCTTTTACTTGATGTTTTCAGTTGTCGCGAGAAAACTGAGCATGACAGGCTCCATTCGAATTCTTGAAAAACAAAAATTCATTCCAAAACCACGTATTTTCGTGCTCCTCAAGGTCAAACTTCCAGATATGACCGACTTGCACAGATACAATACAGGTACCATACTAAATTTTAGAAGCTGCGCCCACCTTCAGTACAATAGAAGTGTGATTGAAGGAACTGTTCACCGGTTTTTCCGCAGTACATCAACATGGGAAGAATATGATAAAGCTATGAAAATCAACCGTGAGCAGTGGTTGGATAACCAATATCCGAAAAGTTGGTCGTCGCGGGTTGCATCCCATGCTCTTGAAAAGATCATCAGCGAGGGCAAAAACGAAAAGAGCATGGCTGAGAAAAAGAAGCCCTGTGATTATAGCAGTGATTCACCACCCATCTTGATGGTCCAATATAGGGGGTATCACAGTCAGACATTAGCAAAAAAAGTGCGCGATATCACCAAAGCGCTGATGATATTCACGACGAGGAAAATGAAAATTTGTATGCCCTCTCTAAAATCCTCCTTTTCCAGTGAACTGAAATCAAAAGTGATGTAAAGACTTGAATGTTGTGGGTGCAAGTCTATCTATGTTGGCCAGACGGTCCGACATCTCACCACAAGGATTGAGGAACACCGAAAAGAGGATACCCCAGTTGGACAGCATATAAGGCAGTGTCTTAGTGAAAGTGGTAAGTCTGAGTTTAATTGGAAAATAATTGACCAGGCGTCCAGCAGCATCAAGTTACTTACATTAGAGGCGCTGCATATTAGTAAAGAGAGACCGGCAATTAACACGCGCGACGAGTTTAGAAGTAGGGAGCTGACACTAAGGATATAGTTCCAGAATCGAAAAATTCTGGCTAAAACAACAAAATTTTGAAACAACTTACATGTTAGCATGAAAATTAGCGACAAAACGAAATTGTGAAAATAAAAAGGATGAAAACTCTCAGAAATTTGTGACAAAATGTTTAAAGTTGTTACATAATAGTTGTTACATAATTTCAGTGATATTTGTAAAGTTTTGATTGGTTAAATTTTTAAAATTTTGAAGTAATGATGTGTATGACACATTTTTTAATCCTGAAGACACTGACAAATATCAGCGCAATTGTATACTGTCAGAGAAACGCTACACCGGATATCAGGAACCAGCTGATCAGCTCGGGTATTCTTGTATTCCTATTACAAAATGTCTCATTTCAAAGAGGAAGAGAAGAACGGAGCTGGTCAACGAATATCAGGCACTGCACCAGGACGTCCAGCTGGAGCTAAAGTCTTTGTGGATTGTGTTCGAACACCAAGACAACCTGCCAGGCTTCGTTCAAACACGAAAAAGAAATCTCAATAGGAATTTTTAAAACCTGAGGATGCACAAAAATGTGCGACAACGTTTGTTTGAATTTACAGTTTTAACGCATTCGTAAAATAAAGTAATTGTGAAATGTTTTGACTTAAAGAATAGTAATGGAGTTCGTGTTAAATCTCAATATACCACACAAGTCGGTGTTCGGATATCTTGATTGTCATATTCTTGACTCAGTAACAGGAAAACGAATCGGTAGTATCATGATAACTAACAAGGATAATGACGAGGACGACGGTGTTCTGAATTATGACCTGAATAGAGTTATTTCAACTAAGAAGTATTCTGCTGCTGCGAGATCATCTTTCAGCAGTGACAAAACTATAGAAGACATGGGGATAAAAAGAGATAAAATTCGAAAGTATGACGAACAATCAGACTCAGAGTATAGCCAGCGCAGTTTCCAGAAAGAACCACCAAAATGTCGGCGGCGGAAGTTAGGGCATTGTAAAGTTGATTTGCCTTCTAGTCGACAGGAAGCGAGCAAAGACAACGATAACATATCAGTTTCATCTCAGTCCATTGAAACTGAAACGGATTCAGTTTCATCCAGATTTGAGCACAAAATATTTACCGAAGAATCAAATTGTGCTAAATCCTATTCCAGCTCAAATAGGTCAGATACTCCTCCAGCGCGAACTCCTAGGAGAAAATATGGCTACCCTGCCTTACAGTCTGTCAATGCAAGTTGCAGTTCTAAGAAAAAGGCTACGGAGTCTGAAAAAATAGGACGCAAATCATCAGACAGGTCGACAAAAAGTTTAGATTTTGAAAACTTGACAAAAGATTTTCATAAATTGTGCGGCTTGCGTAAACGCTCTCCAAATAGTGCCGAGATCTCACCGTATTGTTTTTGCAGAGATTCCCATGAATTTTCATGTCGCTACTGTATGTTTTCTTCAACAACAGAGTCGACCATGAAGAGACATATTTCAATACACGGATCTGCGAACTACATGCCACATAAAGCTAAAAAGTCTATTTGTAAGAAGCACACCTATACACGCACTACCTTTAAGTCCAGTTGGAAGAAGTCAGAGTCCTCATTGAGTTGATGGAGGTATTTATACTGTCTTTTCTGGTGATGTCACCACAGTATCTTCTTTATAATTTGTCAATATATAAATTCCATCAATAACTATGTTCGTACGACTATTATTATGATTATTCGTGTGCTATTCTTATGACAATTGTTGCTTGAAGTTAAATTTTCACTTGATACGTTAATTATTTTTAATTTTCGTTTAAGGTTTTTTTTCTTATTTAGTCATTTGACCAAAAATTATGGAAAAAAATAGAAACTTGAATTTAGGCATGTCCTTCCTTTAATTTCGAAGTTAAGATAATATATAGCAATATGGAAAATCAGAACTATTTAATTTCATTGTAAACTTTAGCAGCAGAGCCTGCATCGTTCACTTCTTTTTCGTCGTTATAATTCTTTCGTTATTCATCACTTTCAGAGCGATAAACCAGTGGTTCGAACGTATCATCAGTAAAATCAGTTTTTTGATAGGCCCATGCTCACAAACGATATATAAACCCATTGAGAGGGGGTAGGGGCCCCTCGGAACATTTGACATTTGGTTATTGTTTAGATTTTTTGGAAAACTTGTCACTTTCTGGAAAACTCTGGATGTCTATAATTTTTGCATGCGACCCTAGAATTCTCAACTAATGAGAGTTGATCAATGCCGTTTTGCGATTGTTTTCTTTTAATTACGGTTTTGATCATTTTAGCCTTTTCCCAACGAGTCCAAAAAGTGATTTATTCATTTATCTCCATTTCAGTAACTTTTTCGGCTTTGGTCAAGAAGAGCTTCCTGATAGTGCCTAAGGCATGTGGTTTGATGTCTTACACCGTTTGGCAATTTTTTTTTTAGTTTTGAAAAGTTGAAAATATCCTTTTTTATAAGATCATCCGTTTCGAAAAGTGAAAAAAATTAAAGTAAAAATTAATAAATCTTTATAACAAAAACGAGTTTCCCGTTGGTTAAGATGAAGGTTGTGCTAGTAAAAAAGCAGAAAAATTGTAAGTTTTTGCGTAGTAGGTTTTCTCATTTATCATTTGATCAAATTTATGGAAAAAAGTATAAACTTGAATTTAGGCATGTCCTTCCTTTATTTTCGAAGTTTAGGTCATACATACCTTTATTTAAAGTCAGAACTACTTAATTTCATTGTAAAATTTTGCATTGATTCTTGATTCGATGCAAAATTATCGAAGTTACAAGAATAATTTTCAAAAAACAAAATTCAAATTGTTTAAATTAAAAATTAGTTTTTTTTTTTTCAACCGACAATTTTGTACGACGCTCTATGGGCCCTTCAGGGCCCAGCAGAAGAGGTCCCGACTCAGAATAATTCAAAAAGTAGAAATAAGAAATTATTACTGATTATCTACTAGATATGCAATTTTATATGAGCGAAGAGAAAGAAAGAAAGAAAGAAAGAATTTATTTCTCACTGTTAATGGTAAATTTGCATATAAAGAGAATTTAAATATGAAGCACCAGAAACAGTGAGGGGACAGTTAACGAACCCATTTTGGTTACTTAGCACTGCCCGTTTTATCAAATGAAGGACAAATTTGTGATCTTCAAAGACAAGGAAAAATATATAAATCTGAAAACATAAAAGATATTGGAAAAGAAAAATACTCAAGTTTGAATAAATATAAAGCAGCAGATTTAAGGCATTGTCTAGACAGATTAATGACATAAGGTCCGTCCACTCTTTGTATCAATATTTAAAGTGATGGTTCAATCGTAGTCGGTATAAAACCAAATTAAAGAAGAAGCTAGTTCAGATTCACTATTCATAATTTCTGAAACTCGCTAGTCGTAGGCACCCCTATTCGGTTTCAAAAACAAAACTTGAACTTGTTCCCTTTACGGTTACTGCTTCTACTAACTGTGTCCCATCCCTTGAAGCCTCTCTAACATCAGCAGAGCTGATTGGGGGCTAAACGGTCAGTAGACATCCAACTGAGCCCATGCGGCAGTAACCAGCGAACAAGCCCAAGTGTGGTCTTCAAAACGCCGAAGACGCGTTGAAAACCATATACAAATATACTTAGAAAAAACTTCAAACAAGCAGGCACTCCAGAACTGTCATCCTCCAGCACTATCCTTGCATCCACAAAAAAAAAATTGTCAACAAAAAACAAATTTGATTAGCTCTTCATTGCTTAATATAAACAAATCCCGAATTTCGTGGGCAATGCGTTGAATATCTGAATTTGAAACTTGATCAAAAAATTTTGGAATTAGGGAATTCTGTCTAAGTATATTAAAGAGCTTAGCTCCTCTGTAACTAATTGAAGCTCTTTGAATTTTGCTTTTGAAATTAGGAACTTTCATTAGATTAAGATTTGACCTTCTGGTCATATACGACGGTTTATCAAATACAAAAAGCTCGTTTAAAAAAGTTTCAGAGTGTAGTCCTGCTACTGATCGCAAAACAAATTTGAGGAGTTCATATACATACAGCTCGTGAACTGTTAAAAACTTTTCATCATTAAAAACTTTTCGAATGCTTTCATATTTTCTTTTGAAAAAAATAAATCGAATATTTTTTTTGGATCAAAAAAAGGGGTAAAAGGTTTGTGTAGGAAGTGCAACCATACACTAATATTCCATATTGCAAAATGGGCTTAATATTAGAGCCATAATAATCAATCATAACAGTTTTGGGAACATAATGACGCATTTTCGAAACAATGCCACATTGTTTTCTAAGCTTGGATCGTATGAAATTAATGTGAGAATTAAATGATAATTTAGCATCTACATAAACACCAAGATATTTGCATGACCCTTCAATTTTCAAAGGAATGCTATTTATAAACAATTGTTGGTTGGAAGCACTGTTAAGAGATACACTAACTTGTACCGTTTTGTCCATATTTAGAGATAATTTATTCAAAAATAACCATTTATTTATAGCTCCTAAGTCTTGATTGAAGCTGTCAACCAAGCAGTTTAGTCCAGTGACGTTTGTGTCGTCGGCAAATAGAAAAACTTCGCTAAATTTACAGACTGTTGGAAGGTCGTTTATATATATAAGAAATAGCAGAGGCCCCAAAATGGATCCCTGTGGGACACCACATTCAAGATTTCGCCACGTTGATCGCGTTTCACCAATTTGGACAAGTTGTTTGCGGTGCTTCAAAAAACTTTTAAACCAAAGTAGACTTTTCCCACTGACACCATACATTTCTAACTTATGAAAAAGAATCTCGTGATTCAGTGTGTCAAAGGCTTTTTTTAAATCAAGAAAAACTGTTCTCTTTGGTGATTTAGTTTTATCTAAGCGACATTTCTCTGTTACTTCGGCAATAGCATCAATAGTACTGTGTTTTTTTCGGAAACCAAATTGTTTGATATAAATTAGAGAGTTTGCTTCAAGACAGCTATACACTCGGTTGTACATTGCACGTTCAAATACCTTACTCCAGGTTACAAGAAGTGATATTGGCCGATAGTTACTGACATCCAATTTCGATCCTGCTTTGTATAAAGGATATACTACCGCTTGAGCCAGAGCGGTAGGAAAACACCCTGATTTGAAGGATAGTTCAATGAGTTTTTTCAGAAAGGGAACAATTGCGAAAGAACTAGCTTTAGCAATTAGATTACTAATTCCATCTATTCCAGAAGATAATTTGTTTTGTAGCGTTGAAAAAATGACTTCAACTTCATATTCAGTAATTGAATTTAAACGCATGCAAAAACGAGGCACTGAATAAAATTGATCGGATTCTAATTTGGGTATTTGATTAGCTAAATGACTGCCAATAGAAGAAAAGAAGTCATTGAACTCATTTGCGACAGCTAGTTTATCGCTAACAACGTCACCACTACTTCCATTTACCGAAACTATTGTTCTACTTGATGTATTTGTCACACCCTTTAAATCATTTAGTAATTTGTATTTTTTCCCTGAGTCACCAATACAATTTTTGAACTTTTTACAGTAAAACTTTTTTTTACATTTTTTAATTTCAATTTCAACTTTACTTCTAGCAGATTCAAAACGAACTCTTGCTCTAACGTTGTTTTTGTTTTTTGACCAAGCTCTATGAAGTCTGTTACGCTTAGATATTAAGTTTTTTATGTGATTGCACATCCAGGGGCAGTCAACGTTTCGTTTCTTGGTTTTTGATATTCTAAGCGGAGCATACTTATTTAATATCAAATCGTATCTAGATTGGAAATCTCCAAACAAGTCATTAATTGGAGATGTGTTTTCGAACCATTTAATTTTCTGCAATTCATGCATTAAAGCGAAATTGAAGTTTTCGATTTGAGTTTTAGATTTTAAAAAAGTTGTATCACGATAAGAGTTTGAAGATTGCATATGCGAGGTTGTGGTAATCAGCTCTAGGATAATGGGCAAGTGGTCAGAGAAGGTTTGATCTTCAAGCGTATAAGCATTTTTTACATCAACATCTTTCACTATTATGTGGTCCAGAAGAGTATCACATGTATTTCCTATTCGTGTTGGTTGTTTAATCACCTGATCGAAGCCGTTGCTTTCTATAGAATCAATATACTTTGAAGAGAGGTTGTTAGTTTTTAGGATATCAATGTTAAAATCACCGCATATTATGACCCGATCATTTTTGGCAGAAATTGTGTCGAGAACATGTTCAAACTGTTCTATAAAGTAAAACTTGTCTGTTTTAGGAGGGTTGTACACCAACATTATCAAGAAGAATTCTTGATTAATCCTAACCAAAATTGTTAAACTTTCTTCAAGTTCCGCTGGTAGTTCTTCGATTAAAGTTACATTTTCTTTCAATTGTATCATCACCCCTCCTCCAGTACTTACTCTTGGCTTACTAATTACTTCATGATAACCTTTTATTTTATAGCTGTGTTTGTCGTCATATTCATGTAACCATGTTTCGCTTAGGCAAATAATGTCAGGTGGTGACTCAAGGGAACTTACAAGTGCTTCCAACTCATCATGGTGTTTACGTAATGATCGAACATTCATGTGGAAAATTTTAGCAACTTTTGAAAACGAATTAGGGTTTTGGCAAGGGAATGGTTT